TTGCTGCAAGAAAAAAGGCCTCCACTAGGCCAGTCCAAAGATTTGCACTCAGTGGGGGCATTTTATAGCAGAAGAGAATGGTTAGATCATTACTGGGATAAGATTCCAAAAAAAAGGGAAAGCAAGATTGTTTGGTTAAACAACCGACTAAACACTAAGACAATTGACTGACAGTCAGCAGGTAGGGGATTGGGTGATTAGATTCCTAGAACAAAGCTTATTCAAATTGCTCAGAAAATTAAGTTAGGCATTTTATCAGGGATGCTCATTTAGAATTACATAAATCCCTGGCCGGTTTGGCTCAGCGGTTAGAGCGTCGGCCTGTGGTCCAGAGAGACCCGGGTTCGGTTCCCGCTAAGGGCACGTACCTCGGTTGCAGTTTGTCCCCGGCCCTGGTTGGGTCGTGCAGGAGGCAGCCACTCGATGTGTCCATTTCACGTGGATGTTTCTCTCTCTCTCTCTTTCTCCCACTCTATCTGAACAAAAAATGGAAAAATGTGCTCGGATGAGGATGAAAAAAAAAAAAGGTTTGGTCCTAGACTGGATTGAAAATATTTTTTCTCTTGCAGGGTTTCTAACCTATTTGGGCCCAGGCTGACATTTGGGCTGAAGTCTAAGCATCCTGGTCCTGATGGCACCTGTTTCACAGGCGTTTCTTCATCCCCTCTGCCCTCAGAGTTTGCTCTGGCTTATATCCTTCATAGTTCATAGTTCATAGTTCATAGTTCATAGTTCATAGGAGCGGCTCTTGCCCAGCCTACCTCACACTCCAAGAGAAGGGAGTTATCTCTTCTTACAAAATCCTGCCTCTTTCTTCCTTCATCTCAGTCTATCCGTTACTGGAGAAATAGGTGGGTCCACTTTCTCCTCCACTAGTGGGAGTGGGGCTCTTTCAATATCTTGAGAAAATGAATTTTCTAAGACTCGCATAGGAGAGTCATTTTTATTTTGTGTGGTGTTACATTGCTCAGGTTGTAAAGTCCCAGGTCCCTGAGTCCAGTCCTGGAAACGGTGTAGCTGGGAATTCAGCAGAACTAGACGCAGGGCCAGTGTCGAGTTTTCTATTCCATGGTAGAGCTGGGTCTGATGTAGCATCAGGCATTAGGCTAAATTTAGTCCATCAGTCCATTGGGTGGAGTCCACAAGGCTGGGAGTCACATGGGTGAATGCAAGGAAGTGCTCCCCCTGCAACAGGAGTCCCAAGAGAGCAAGAGGGCCAAATGCTAAGAGCCGAGAGGCAGAAGAGACCAAGAGAGGGAACTTCCTTTGTTCAGGGGTTAAGTAGCTCAGATTCCCCTTGTAGTGGCCACACCTACTCTGGCCAGTGACTTGTTCCCAGGTGTAAATGACAGGTAAGCATTTTCCCACATCACTCAGACTTTACTGGGCATGCGTTTAAACTGCCATTGTCCAGTGTCTTCCCCCATCAGTCTGTGGGGAGTAGACCTGGAGAGTGTGAACTGCAGCTTCCTGGCAAAGCTGTATAACAGACATGCCTATATTATCTAGCCTTCTCTTTATTTCTTTCTGGTTAATAATAACTAGATTATTAATGATATCAAATCTCTTTTTGTTTCACTGTCCTCCATCCACACTGGCCACCTTTCTGCTCTTCAAACCTGTCAAGCTCTTTGCTATTTGGAGGTCTTCGAGCTTGCTGTTACCTCTGCGTGGAGTGTTCTGCAGAGCTGTTCCCGCACCATTCAGGGCTCAGATTCAGTGATATTCTCACAGAAACTTTTCCTATCAAACACCCCTCCATCGTGTTATTCTGTTGACTTTCTTCACCCGTCATCTGCCTTTATCTTCTTCTTTTGTTCTTTTCTATCTGCTTCCCTACCAGATTGTTAGATGTATATTGATGTCGATATAAGAAATGTCCAAACCTGAAGAGAATTTTTATGAGTTTATTTGAGTCAAACTGACGACAATTTCCGGGAAACAAACTCTCAATGGATTTGGAAAATGGCAGTTTTGTACCTTATTTTATACATTAGAATCAAAGGAGAAGATGTAAGGGGGTTACATGAAATCCACTGGTAATAGATTAGAGAGGCAGGAGAAAGCAAAGCAAGAAAATATCTGAGATTAGATAAAAAGTAAACTGAGAGTCCTGGCTGGTTTGGCTCAGCGGTTAGAGCGTCGGCCTGCAGTCCGGAGAGACCCGGGTTCGGTTCCTGCTAAGGGCACGTACCTCGGTTGCAGTTCGTCCTCAGCCCTGGTTGGGTCTTGCGGGTGGCAACCACTCGATGTGTCCCTTTCACATCGATGTTTCTCTCTCTCTCTCTTTCCCACTCTGTCTGAACAAAATATGGAAAAATGTCCTTGGGTGAGGATAAAAAAAAAAGTAAACTGAGAGACACATGCTTCTTTTACATGGATAGGTATAGAATAATTACAAGCAACATTTACAGCACATATGTTACTGGCGAGATGACGAGACCTCGGTTCTTATCTTCTTGAAGGACAGATTTCAATCAAAAGACAAAGTGCACCGAAACAAGCAAGAATTTATTGGCCGCAGCAAAAACACACTGAGGACAGTGAAATGAGGAAGGGCGTAGAAGAAGCAACAGGAGAGCCTGGGCCGGGCCGCTTTGGCTCACTGGGAGTCAGAGAAAAGGGATTCTTGGGACAGAGGGGCTAAGATTGAGGGGCTTAGCCTGGGATGAGCTGTCATTGCCCATTGCTCCCCTGGTCACAAGTCTTGTGGGATCCATTAGAGGGAAGAAGGGGGAAGGGAATAGCTGGGGCATGCTCTCATGGAGAGGGTGTGCACAGGGTATTCATCTCTCTCTTGTCTTTTGGAAATCTTAGGGGAGGTTTCAGGGGAGGGTCGCAATAGACTATTTATCAGCTTTCCAGGTGTGCTCTTTCAAGTCGTGGCCTCCACTGATTGGTTGGAGCCAGGGCAGGGGGTCATAATTCAATGCAGCCTGTCCTGAGGGAGCCACAGCTCACTTGTCTGGTTTTGCTGCTTTTCTGGGCCTGGAGCTGAAATACAACTGAGGCCTAGATGTTATCTTTAGGGAGGAAAAAGTCAGAGGGTCTAAAACGCATAACTAAGGGAGGAAAGGTTACCCTGGGGGCGAGGTTTTCGAGGTTTTCGTTTTTTCCAATTTTGCTCCTTGCTAGGCTAGGCATCGGGCTTTCTGCCCTCCTGAGTTTCTGTTCCTGGCCATTGCCCTTGCTCTGCTCATGTCTGTTTGACTGCCTATAACACAGAGAGATGGTATGCAGGGAACAAGAAAACAATGCCAGGTCTGTGGTCTCACAATCTGGCGGTCAGATTGTTCCCTGAAGGATTTGGTAAAAGGGGGTTACTCTGACACTGGGAAGGTATCCGTAAAGGTAGATGCAAAGAAGACAATAGACAGGCTCAGTTAAGATAAAGACAGACCTTTGTCAAGGATCATACTAGGCTAGGATATGACTACCCACCGTGACTTGCCTTTAGTTAGGAAGTTTAATTTCAGACCATCCAATGTCTCCTGAGTTTGTAAGGCCACCATACAGGCCTCCCCTGAGCTTACCAGGTTTAGTATGTGGCCCCTTTTCATCCACATGGGCAAGAAACTTGTCTGTTCACTACAGTATCCAAGTGTCTGACACATAAAATAGATGCCTAATAAATTGTTGGTGAATCTTTAATAAATATATGTTAGTGAATGTTGAGTAAATATATGGAGAAACTGTGCCTCAGAGTAGTCGAGTAATTTGCTTAAGATCACACAGCATTAAGTGGTGGAATGGGGGAACTAGTTTGACTCACTCCGTAGCCCCTACTCTTTTTACTATTACTCTTTATCTTGTTTATCTCTTCACCCTGTGAGTCCTCAACCCCACTTTGTAGGCCTAAGCACAGAAGTGTGAATTTCCCTCTTACCCAGAGGTCACAAATTTCTTCTGATGCCGTGGGTCCCTGGACAGCCCTTTGAAGCCAGATTTGCTCTGAGCTGGTTGCTCTTCTTGCCTATGCACAAGACACTCACAGAGCACCCCAAAACATCTCTTCTTCCCCACCACAGAGCCTTTCATTTCACATTCATGCAAGGAACAGTCAGGCAACCCCTACTGTGGGCCAGGCTGTGCTGGGAGCCTCTGGGAGCCAGGCTGTGCTGGGGGCCGCTGGGGCCAGGCTGTGCTGGGGGCTGCTGGGGCCAGGCTGTGCTGGGGGCCGCTGGGGGCCAGGCTGTTCTAGGGGCTGCTGGGGCCAGGCTGTGCTGGGGGCCGCTGGGGGCCAGGCTGTTCTAGGGGCTGCTGGGGGCCAGGCTGTTCTGGGGGCCGCTGGGGGCCAGGCTGTGCTGGGGGCTGCTGGGGGCCAGGCTGTTCTAGGGGTCGCTGTGCCATCCCCCGCTTCTCTCAGTTAGAGCTTCCTGTCACTGCATTGCTCCATCTCATTTCCTCCCTAAAACACAAATAAATCAATAACCTCTTTGATCTTTTCCCTTCATTAGCCTCTTCCCTGCAGGGTCTCAGGCCCAGGGCTCTGCTCACACCTGCCTGGTCCTGTCCCTGGGGTAGATGCCAGCTAACAACCCACCCCAGCTGAGTACAAGTATTAGCATATCAAAAACTCTGATTTACATTGTTATTACTCCCACTCAGCACAGCACCTGAGGCTCATTTTAAGGCATATGGTTTCATGTATTATGTTTCCATATAAGGTGCCTGGCTCCACACACACAAACCCTTTAGCAAAATCTCCCCAACCTTCCTCTGTAAACTCCACCCCAGATAGAAGGAGGCAGATTGGACTTGCCTGGCCTCGCCTTTTCTCAGATGTTAGTCCAGGACAAGTCTAAAATTAGCCCCACCCCCTCCTGGTGCTAAAACTCAGCTGGAGCTGGAGCAACAGGGGGCCAGTTACTTTTAGAAACTGGCCCAGTAGGGCTTAGAGCTGAGCAACAGAAACAGGTGATGGAAACTGGGCCCAAAACCTGCAGGGCAGGAAAGAAGAGCCGGATAGCGCTCAGAAGCTGAGATCAAAATGGCAGATTCAGGGTCCAGGGCTGCAAATCCAGACTGATGTCATGGTCACAGGCAGATCAAGGAGAACAAGCACAAAACCAAGCTGGAGCTGCCCAGGGCTCTTACTGCAAGCTAAGGTAGGGTGGGAGTGGGCTGCGGGAGGGAAGGGAGAGGATGTCTCCAGGTACACACCGAGTGCCGGTTGCTTTATATGTGGCGTCTCATTGAGTCTCGGTGGTAGGTTCTATTATTTTGTTTCTTTTACTGTTAACTAAATGAAATGACAGATATGTTCAGTCACTTAGCCAGTAAATGGCAAAGCAGGGATTCAAACCATAGCCTATTTAGCATAACGCCTGGCACTTTCCTCTGTGCTGCCTTCATGAGTAGCAAGAAGGGACCTTTCAAATCCACCCACAGCCCAGGAGGATGGACCATCAAGTTGCCTCACCGATATTTCTTACCCTGAGTCATATCCTAATTTCCTGGGGCACATCTGTTACCAGATAATTGAGTGGGTGGAATTTCTCTGTCACTACTCAGGATGGGGTTCTTGCAATATTCTGAGAAAAATAACTTTCTAAGACTCGCATGGAAGAATGAGTGATTTTTATTTGCATAGAGTTACATTCCTCTGTCTGCAAAGTCCCAGTTTCCTTAAACCAATCCTGGAAAATATGCAGCTGCGGGTTCAGTAGAGCTAGAAGCAGGGCCAGTGTCCAGAGTTTCCATTCCATGGTGGAGTTGAGTCTGGCAGAGCATCAGGCTAGATTCAGGCCCTTAGTCCACTATGTGGATCCCACATGACCATAAGCCATATGGGTGAATGCAAGGGAGTGTGCCCCCTGCAACAGGAGTCCCAAGAGAGCAAGAGGGCTGAGAGAGAACTCCTTTTGTTCAGGAGTTTAAATATCTCAGATTTCGTGCCCTAGCAGTGGCCACGCCTATTCTGGCCAATTACCTGTTTCCAGGTATGATTGACAGGTAAGCATCATTCCATGCCACCCAAACCTTGCTAGGCATGGGTCTATAATCCAGTCCCTTCCCCTAGAGATTTGCAGCAAACAGACCTGGAGAGTGTTAAATTGCAGCTTTCTGGCACAGTGGTGTAAATTGTATGCCTCTATTATCTAGTCTCCCCTTTGTTCCTTTCCTGTTAAATGATAACCAGGTTATTATAACGGTATCACTTTGACAAAAATACCAGTGCTTGAACACATCACCCAGAGGTTCTAAGGTAACTGTTCTGGGGCAGGGCCTAATTAAGAATAGGTATTTACAGTCTTCTGGGAGCTTCTGCTGTGCCACCTGGGTGAAAAACTAGGCTCAGTGCTTTATTGCTGATCAGCTCCCCTGAGACAAACTGGAGAAATGGTTGGTGATGGATGTTTATGCCCAATTCACCTGGGTTCCACACCAGCCAGGCAGGTCACCTGGCCATTAATGGCATAATTCTGCAGTAGTTTTCTGGTTGAGGGTGGTCTTCTCAAATTCTGAAGTCAACTGTAGAATTTAAAAAGAGCATTAAAACCACAAACAGAGAACAGGAGACTCAATCAAGCAGACATTTAACAAAAAAAATCAGCGTCATTCTAATGTGTCTCTGTGCCCCTTTCTCTAGCCTGCTGCAGAAAAGCTTTGCAGAGGGAGGAGACTCAATGAAATTGGCAGGGTTCACCGAGGAGCAAGCAGTCCCGGCGAGTCAGCCTTGGCTGCACTCAGGTGCATCTGTCCTGGCCCTCAACTCCCAGCTCCCGTGTGGTTTAGCACTTGACTATGTATGTTTGCTATCTTCTTTATTTCTAGTTGTTTCATATTTAATCGCTTCAAATCTTGCCTTCTCTGAACTCCGCTGGAGGGCAAGGGCTGGGTCATGTCAGAGACAGAAAATGACATCTGAAAAAATCCCAGCCGCGACATCTTTTAGGTCCTCTGGACCATATGCAGTTGACCCTCAGCAACTTGTACAAAATCTGCTTGTAACTTTTGACTCTATGGTGGGCATCCGACCAACCGTGGACTCAAAACAGTATTTTCGATGCGCAGCTGGGCATTTGAAAATACTGTTTTTGATCTGAGGCTGGGAATCCGTGGTTGGAAAAATGTGGTTGAGAAGGTCAAAATCTTGTTTTCAATCCACAGTTGGTTGAATCTGCGCATGTGTGAATGTGACACCCTTGGACAGGAAAGGGCTGAGTGTATTCACTGAAAAAAGTCCATGTAAAAGTGGACCAGCACAGTTCAAGCCCATGTCGTTCAAGGGTCATTTGTATTGGCATCATCCTGGGAAGTTTAAAAAATGCTGATGCCTGAGTCTCAGTCCCTGAGAATGTGATTTAATTGGGTGTGGCATGAACATCACGACTTTTCAAATATGCACCAAAGGTTGAGAATAAAAACTTGAAGAATAACAAAAAGGTATGTGAGAAAATTGTAATAATGGTTATGCCTGAGAGGAAAAAGTGAGGTGACATGATTTATTTTATTCATGCTAATCTGTGTTCTATTTGTTTCTCCACATTGGTTATATAATTTTAAAACTAAAACAAAAATTCAACTGGATTAGGTACTCCTGAATAGTCTGCTTTTTGGGGGATTGATCACTGCGATAACTTGTACCAGGTTGGGATGGGTCCTGACCAGACACCAAATATTTACTGAGAGCCTCCTGCTTCCACATGATAGACACCGGACATGTAAGCGTAAATGTCACAAGCACAATCCCAACTCTTGTGAAGTGTACCTTTAAAAAAGAAAATTAACCATTAAACAAGCAAATAGAGTACTCTGACTTCAAGGAGACGTTCCATCAGGTACAAACTACTCAGTATTATATATTGTTTTGTAAATAACTAATTAAAAATGGCAAATATCTGGCTTGCCCTAACCCTCCTGTATCTAAGGAAGACAGACATGTGAGAAAGCAATGTAGGATACAATAATTGCTCATTGATTATATTACCCTTTTCTCTTGAAGCTCAGTATTCTTTTCCAATTATAATCAATCTGAGGTGGTGCTTGAAATGAAACAGCTAGTATTCCAGGAAAGCACTAAGAATTATCTTATTGAAAGTAAGTTAGATGACTGAAAAGATCATTGAAGCCTTCTGAGATGGCCAAGTAGCTCTTATGGGACTATACCTCTCATAAATAGCAACTATAAGCTCTGGACAAAAATATAAGAACAATTAATTGAAGGTACTGGGGAGAGAATAAAACGGGAACCAGAGAGATAGAACCATTGAAGAACCTGGAAAAGAAAACTCTCTAGAATGGAGTAAGTTTTCTGAGATACAGCTTGTAGCCTAGGAACAGGGCCTTGTCTGTGGTATGCAGAGTAGAAGGCAAGCCCGATGCTCTGTGGATAAACTCTGCCCACGCCTCTGGCCAACTCCTGAACCACGTACGCAAGAGACAGACTTTAAGAATCTCAGCTTCAGCTAAAGAGCTGAAATGCGATTCCAGCTGCTACAGGGAACACAGTGTTTTGCAGTTGAGTTCAGCCACTTTAAAGACCTGAACAAAGAAAAGTCAATAGAATTGCATAATAGAATCCAGACTTTCTACAACATAATCATTTGTAATGACCAGGATATATTCCAAAATTATTCAACATACAACAAAACAGGAAAACATATTTCTTTTTTTTTATCCTTACCCGAGGACATTTTTCCATTTTTTTGTTCAGATAGAGTGGGAGGGAGAGAGAGGGAGAGAGAGACAGTCAGAGAGAGAGAGAGAGAGAGAGAGAGAGAGAGAGAGAGAGAGAAACAATGACATGAAAGGGACACATCAAGTGGCTGCCTCCAGCACGACCCAACCAGGGCCAGGGACAAACCACAACTGAGAAACATGCCCTTAGCAGGAACCGAACCCGGGTCTCGCTGTACTGCAGGCTAACACTTTAATTCCTGAGCCAAACCGGCCAGGGCAAACATAACTCTTTTTAAAGAGAAATGATAATCAACAGAGACCAACTCTGAGATGATCTAAATGATGGAATTAGCAGATGAGAATTTTAAAGAAGTTCTAAGAGCTTTGCTCAAGTATGTAAAAAATAAATAAATAAATAAGTTCATAATGAATGAAAACATAGAAAATTATGGCAGATAAATAGAGACTATGAAAAAGAACCACATGAAAGTATAAGAACTAAAAAATAAATAGCTGAGATGTGCCCAGGTGGCTTGGTTGGTTGGAGTGTCATGCCATACACCAAAAAGGTTGAGGGTTTGATTCCTGGCTGGGGCGCATACGGGAGGTAACGATTAATGTTTCTCTCTCACATCAATGTTTTTTTTCTCTCCCCCCCCAAAAATAAATAAAAACATATCCTCAGGTGAAGATTTAAAAAAATAGAACAAATAATAACTGAAATAAAAATTCTATGGATGTACTTAAAAGCCCAAGGAAGATGAAAGAAAAAAATGTCAGTGAATTAGTAGATCAGCAGAAATAATCCAAACTGATAAACAGAGATTTGATAAATATACAGAGATTTATGGATATTTACAGCAATACCAAAAAGTGTGTGTGTGTGTGTGTGTGTGTGTGTGTAATTAGAGGCCCAAGAAGAGAGGAGAGAAAGAATGACACAGAAAAGTATTTGAATAAGTAATGGGTGGAAAATTCATAAATTTGATAAAAGACATATTATGGATTCTAAAACCTTAATAAACATCAAGAAAATCAATGTAAAAAACAAAAATAAAAATAATTAGACATCATGGTCAAAGTGCTGAAAATCAATGACAAAGAGAAAACCAACAAAACAATGTTGAGAGAAATTAAAGATGTAAGTAAATGGGGAGATATACCAAGTTAGTTGATCGAAAGACTCAGTGTTGTTAAGATGGCATTTACCAAGTTGATCTATGAATTTAGTACAATTCTAATCATAATTCTATGCTTTCTAATCAAAATTGACAAGCTTATTCTAAAATTTCTTTAGAAATGCAGAGAACTTAGAATACTCAAGAAGTCTTAAAAAAAAGTCAAGGTTGTAGACTTACACTCCTTGACTTTAAGGTTTAGCTTAAAACTACAGTAATTAAGACAGTGTGGTACTGATACAAAGATCAACAAACAGATTGACTGAACAGAGTAAAGAACCCAGAAATAGCCTGGCTGGTGTGGCTCAATGGTTGAGTGTCGACCCATGCACCAAGAGGTCACCAATTCAATTCCCGGTCAGGGCACATGCCCAGGTTGTGGGCCCGATCCTCAGTGTGGGGCATGCAGGAGGTGGCCAATCGATGTTCTCTCTCATCAATGTTTCTATTTCTCTCTCCCTCTTCCTTCCTCTCTCTCTAAAATCAATAAAGAAAGCCCTGGCCGGTTTGGCTCAGCGGTTGGAGCGTCAGCCTGCGGTACAGAGAGACCCGGGTTCGGTTCCCGCTAAGGGCACGTACCTCGGTTGCAGTTTGTCCCCGGCCCTGGTTGGTCGTGCGGGTGGCAGCCACTCGATGTGTCCCTTCACATCGATGTTTCTCTCTCTCTCTCTTCCTCTCTCTCCCTCCCGCTCTATCTGAACAAAAAATGGAAAAATGTCCTCGGGTGAGGATAAAAAAATAAAATAAAAAATAAAATCAATAAAGAAAAATAATAATAATAATAAAAAAAAAAGAACCCAGAAATAGATCCACACATACACATTTACTTTATTTTTGCAAGGATGTCATAGCAGTTTAACTGGAAAAGAAAAGTCTTTTCAACAAACGGTGTTGAAATAACTACTACACCAAATGTCATCAGAAGGATATAAAACAATGAAAACTCATACATTCTTGGTATAAAGGGGAAATGACATAAGAACACAGGAAAAAATATTTGTAAATAAATATTGAACTCTGGTTAATAACATTGAAGTATTTGGGGGAAATCATTAATATCTGCAATTTACTATGAAACACAATAACAAAACTAAATGTGCTGCTGGATGGATAGAGGAATGATCAGAGAATCAATATGTGGTAAAGCAAATATAGTAAAATGTCAACCGAAGAAACTATATGGTGAGTATATGGTGTTAACTGTAAAAGTCTTTCAATGTATCTTGGAGTTTGAAATTTTTATGATAGAATGTTGAGAACAAAAGATAATTGGAGATAATTGGCAGATTGTTCATTAAATGGAGTCCTGGCCCTAGGAAAGGATACTAGAGTCTAGCTGACATATAGGGGAACGGGGTAGACAGGGGAGGCTTAGGGAGTCAAGAAATTGGCTTTCTTTGCTCTATTCTAACTTTGGCAATGAACCTGAGGGCTGGGGCAAAACAAATGGCCAAGTTCCTCTTGATTTCCATCAGATCCACCGGCTCATACTCTCTGCAACTGCCTTGTTTACTAGGTGGTGACTCAACAGATCTCTTCTAGAAATCTGGAACTGGAAGGGGGTTGTCTGACACTACTCTCTACCTACTGAGCACCTACTGTGCACCACTCTCTGTACTAAGCTTTGAGAAGACTGATGAAGCGAATAAAAATGTCTCTTGCCCTTTTCATGATCTTCCCATTGATGAATCTGCTCCTCTTCTACTGTTCTTGTTATTTACACCCCGACCAGAAGACTTGCAAGTTCCTTTTGTAAGCCATGTTGACATTTCTTTTTCTTTTTTTAATTTTTAAAAAATATTTTCTTTCACTTATTGATTGATTTTGAGTGAGAGAGAGAGACACCAGTTTGTTGTTCCACTTATTTATGCATTCATTGGTTGATTCTTGTACGTGCCCTGACCCGGGTGGAACCTGCAGCTTTGGTGTCAGGACAACGCTCTAACCAGCTGAGCTACCCACCGGAGTGCCACGTTGACATTTCTTAAATCTCTGACTTCAAAAACCCCTTTTTAAATATTGGGCCTGAACATCTCTGTCTAAACAGAAGGACATTTTTTCTTATTTTATTCACTCTGGAGTGAAGCTTGACACAAGAAGATCCCAGAGTCCCAAAATAGCTCAGCAAGAAATTGAGCACATGCCTCGTGACCCCAAGTCCCCTTACGGTCCCCTGCAGTAGGGGTGAGAGGGAAAGAGCAGTAGTCTGGTAAGCTCGACCCTTGGCCCCATTTCCAACAGAGGCCACACCATTACCATTCCTTGCCTTGGCACCACAGTCAGACATCCTGCCCAAAGTTTAGCCCAAGCAAGGAGAGGTGCCTGGCCTACTGGATACTTGAAATGACCTCAAATCCCATGTTACAAAGCTGATTGTTCCAGCCTCACCTCTAACATACAAAAGAGAAAATTCCTTCCTTAAACATCTAAGTCTTCTTGGTGAAATGTGAGCATGTTTTGAGCTGATGTATTAATGTGACAGATGACCCCAATTTGGTTGAGTGGTCCCATATTCAATAAAAAAGAAAAGGAAAATGGGTTGCCTTCGTTAGAAAGGCTATCACACTTTCTTTCCACCAAGTGACTCATTCCCTTTGCTTAGCTGAATACACCCCCCTCGGCGAAGTCCAGACTGTCAACTGTCACCTTTGTACACTTCAAAATTCACCAGCTCTGAACACTCTTTAGCAAGGTGACCATTTCCAGCTCCTCAGTGTCCCTCATTCTGACTGAAATACCTTTGCTTTTTCTCTCTGCCCTCCTTCCTGCGAAAGTTTTACCTCTCAGGAATTTAAATACATATTTTCCTTTTTTGGAAGCCGCTTTCCAAGCAGTGGGATTCTTGGGAGACAATGATCTGACTTAGGGAAACAGTGCGTGGTTTTTCTGTCCCTGGTGCTGGGGCAGGCGATTGGTGCTTCAGGACTTTCTGAAGCTCTTTGAAAACAGGGCTAGTCAGATTCCAGAGATTTACCTTCTGGAGGCTGAGCGTGTCTGGGCAGCGGCTGCATAATTTGGATGGAGTCATCACGGAGGAGGCAGAGTTGGCTCGGCCAGGGAGCACTCGTCGCTCTTTTCAACTCCACGCACCCGAGATGAAGTCACCTTTCTTCTTTTACAACCAACAGATTCGTCCTGTGAGTTCCTGTCACTTCTGTTAGAGCTTGGGGTTTTTTCTGCCGCCCGTCACCAGGACCTTCTCTCAGGTAAGGAAGCTCTTATTTCGTGGGTTTTCACCCAGGAGAGTTTGATTTGAGAGGGTTGTTTTAGGCGAGCTCTGGGTAAAGTTGGAGTCAGGTTAAGGGACACGCAATTGGGTGGGGAGCATGATGGGCGCCCAGGCTTCCATGTTTACCTGGTGAGCTGGCAGGCCCTGGGCTGGATGAGCAGAGCCCCACTCTGCTGCGTGCAAAAAAGGCAGGTGCTCATCATGGGCAAGGAAATCTAATCTGAGCTGGGTTTCCGTGCCTATTCCAAGAATCGTGTAACAAGCACCTACAGGTGGTTTCCTTGGGGTTGGGACTCTCTTCTCCCCCTTGCCTTCCTAACAACTGGCTTTGTGTTTTGGGTAGAACTCAGAGGGTCTCATGACTAAAGCTAATGCACAGAAAAGTAGCAGCTCTCCTGAGAGCCTTTATTTGCTCAATCACTGGCGTGAATGCTTCCCGTCTTCCTCGGAATATTGCAGGAGACAAAGGGCCCGACTTCCTGTCCTGACATGTAGGCACCTTGTGTAAACAAGGGCTATCCCGCTGTGTGGGGCAGAAGTGTGCAAACATGTCTTCCCGCCTCTCCTAAGTTCTAAGAAAATGAGCCTGAGTTTTGGGGTGTGTGTGTGTGTGTGTGTGTGTGTGTGTGTGCAGGCAGCTCTGTGGTCCAAGGAACCACTAAAATCTCCCTACAACACTTTCAATGGGTTCTGTGAGTCACTGTTGCTGATTGAATCAGACATCTCTTATGAGCTTTGGTAGGCTCAATAAAGGCATCTTGGTTATGATGGAGGCACCTACAGGGTAATAAATGGCTTTGGAGAGAGATGAACCACCAAGAAGTGAAAACATTGAGAATTGCAAAAGCCCTTTATTACTTGACACACAACCCGACTACACATAGTATTCAGTACGTTCATTTTTAACCTCTGAAGGAGCGAGAATCTCATCAGATAAGAGATGCATGTTTTGTTATAAACACAACTGCATACTGGCTGCCAGTGCCTGTTGACACGTTCACCTCATGGCTCACCAGAATTCATCCTTTCCTGAACTCTGCTCCCCCTGTGTGCCCCCAGCTCAGTGAAAACATCTGGTTATCCATAACAGACTTCTGGGCTTCACCCTTGACCCCTCTTTTGTCCTCACCTTCCCACATCTAGTTTGGCAACACATGCAGCAGATTCTGCCTCCATATTATCTCTCAAATCCATCCATTCTCTCATTTCCATGGCTATTTTCCTAGTTTAATAAGCCCTTATCGTCTTCTTCCAGGATTATGGAAAACTCCTGTCCCGGCTTCCTCTCTTTAGTCTGCCCTTCCCGGTGCAGCCGGATGATTCTCTAGTGGTTGATCAGCACCTGCAGTCCAGTCATTCACTAGTCTGGTGGTTCTGTCTCCTTAGTGTCGCTCACAGTTTTCACATCTCTCCCTGCCTCCACCGCCACCTTGGTCCAACCTCCCAATGCTCTTTGCCTTAGTTATTACAATAACCTTTTAGCTGACGTCCCTCCTACCAGATTACTCCCTTCCTAACATATTTTAAGTTTCTTATCTCCCCAAGGTTTTAAAGGACATTTTTGTTTTTAACAAGAGCAGAACTTGAAACACTTGTTTCCCTATCTGGGATTTAGGAATATCAGCATTTTTATGACCCTTGTAGATACTTCAAGGAGGGAGCAGGGAGAGTAGGGGGAGACGGGAGATGTGTTGCTGTGGGAAGGTGGCCGAAGGAGCTCACAGGTCTACCTTTGAACCCCAGCTCCTCCACTTCTAGTGTGGCCTTGACCAGACTGGTGAGTCTTTTTGAGACCATTTTCCTGAACTGTGAAGTAGAAATAATAATGCCTACCTCACTGGGTGAATACATATATATAAGAGTTAAATGTGAGCATTTAGGAAAGGCTCTGAAACATAGCAATAAGAATTTTTAGTTCCTTTCTTTCTTTCCTTCCCTTTTAAAGCTTATAATCTCTTACCATCATATATCTTGTAAGCATTTGTGTGTATGTGCATATGTAATTATCTGCTTTCAGCATGGTAGGAAGGAGAAGAGGCAAAGAAATACAAGAGCACTCTCTTAAGGAATTTGCAGTTTACATAGGGAAGGAAAACAAACCTAAGCAGTATAAAAACACCTATAAAACAAGCAGTCTACAATTGTCATGCGTACAGTACCAGTCTGAGTACATAAGCAGGGAAGGCTTGAATAAACAGATCTGGGAATACCTGCAGACAGAGTGTAAATAGGTCTATATCAAGAAATTTTTAGATTCAGGGTTTTTGAGGACTTAAAATGCATTGACCTCTCTGATCTTGAAATAAAACTTCTCAAAAAGCTTTATGCTCTTAGAGTGACTTAAGGACATAACGGATTAGTGTTTATGTGACTTTACTCATTCATTCATTCATCAAGTATTTATTGAGCACCTACTCGTTACCACAAGGCTCTTTACTGCCCTTTTGTATCCACTCCCATCCTTAACACTTTGAAATCATTAATCTGTTGTCCATCTATATAATTTTATTCCAGGAGTGTTTTATAAATGGAGTATGCATGTAGTATTTACATGCATGAGATTGACTTTTTTCACTTAGCATACTTTTTTTGAGATCCATCCAAGTATGTATTGATAGTTGTTGGTTTTTTTTACTGCTGAGTAGTATTCCACAGGTATAGATATACCATAGTTTGTTCAGTTATTTACCCATTGGAAACATTTGGATAATTTCCAGTTTGGGGCTATTATAAATAAAGCTACTTAAGCATGTAATTGTATGCAAATTTCTTCATGAACATAAACTGTCATTTCTCTGGGATAATGCTCAAGAGCACAATATCTGGGACTTATGAAGTCCATTTCCAGTTTTAAAATGAAGTGTCAAACTATGTTCCAGAGTGGCCATTCCTTTTGTACTACCCCCAGCAATGCATGAGTAATGGAGGTTCTCTGCATCCTTGTCACAATTTGTTGTTATCACTGTTTTTTATTTTAGCCATTTTGATAGCTGGGTAGCGGTATCTCATGATTTTAATTTGCATTTTCCTGGTGGGTTATGATGTTGGCCATCTTTTCATATATTTATTTGCCATCTATATATCTTCTTCAGTGAAATGTCTATTACTGTCTTTTGCCCATTTCCTAATTGGATTGTTTGTTTGTTTTTTGACTGTTGAGTTTTGTGAGTTTTTAAATATGTACTCTAGATATGCATCCTTTTTAGATGTGTAGCTTACAAATATTTTCTCCCACTCTGTAAATTTTCACTTCATCCTCTAAGTAAGATCTTCCACTGAGCAAAAGCTTTAAATTTTGATAAAGTCCAATTTATCAGGTCATTCATTTATGGATTATTATTTTATTTTTTTCTAAAAACTTTACAGTTTTACATTTAAATCTGTAACCCATGTTGAGATCATTTTTACATGGAGTGTCAGGTTTAGGTTGACGTCAGTCTCCTGCCTTTGCCTGTCCAATTGCTCCGGCACTGTTTGTTTAAAAGGCCAGCTCTTCTTCACTGAACTGGTTTTGAACCTTTGTCAAAAATAGATTGGGTGGCCCTGGCCGGTTTGGCTCAGCGGTTAGAGCATCAGCCTGCGGTCCAGAGAAACCTGGTTCAGTTCCCGCTAAGGGCACGTACTTGGTTGCAGTTTGTCCCCGGTTGGTTGGGTCGTGCGGGTGGCAGCCACTCGATGTGTCCCTTTCACATCGATGTTTCTCTCTCTCTCTCTCTTCCTCTCTCTCCCTCCCACTCTATCTGAATAAAGAGTGGAGGAATGTCCTCGGGTGAAGATAAAAAAAAAAAAAAAAAAAAAGATTGGGTGTATTTATATGATTCTATCTCTGGGTTTTCCATTCCGTCTCATTTATCTGTGTGCCTATCCCTCTGACAATACCACACCATCTAGATCACTATATCGTATGCCCTACAGCAGCTACGTAATAAACCATACCTTAGGCAGAGAGATTCTCCCATGTTGGTGTTCTTTCTCAAAACTCCTTTGGCTATCCTCAGGCCTTTCACTTTCCATATAAATGTTATAAAATGCTTGTCTATGCCTACAAAAGCCTTGCTGGGATTTAAAAAAAAAATGTTTTATTGATATTTTAGAGAGAGAGGAAGGGAGAGGGAGATAGAAACATTGATGAGAGAGAAACACTGATCAGCTGCCTCCTGCACGCCCCCTACTGGGGATTAAGCCCACAACCTGGACATGTGCCCTGCCCAGGAATGGAACCAGGACCTCTCAGTCCATGGGACAATGCTCAATCCACTGAGCCACAGCAACCAGGCCCTTGCTGGGATTTTGATAGGAATCCTGTAAAACATGTAATTTAATTTAAAGAGAAGTGACATCTTTACTATGTGAAGTCTTCCAGTCCTCAAACATGAAAAATTTCTGCCATTATTCAGGTTTTCTTTGGTTTCTTTCATCAGCATTTTGTTATGTTCAGCACAAAGTTTCTGCACATATTTTGTTAGATTTATAGTTAAGTATTTTATTTGGAACAATTGGAAATGATATTGCATTGTTAAATTTTATTTTTCAGGTATACATTTAGTATACTTCAGAAATACAATTATTTTTTTTCTTATATTTATTCCCCAACTTTTTTGAGATATGATTGAAAAGTAAGCATTGTATATATTTAAAGTGTACAGCATGCTGTTTTGATATAGATGTACATTATGAAATGATTATCATAAGTGAGCTAATTAACATACCCATCAACTCACATAGTTACCATATGTATATATTTGTGTTGAGAACATTTAGAGAACTTACTCAAGATCTTTTTTAACAAATTTTAAATATATAATATATTATTATTAACAATAGTCACATTTTATACATTAGTTCTACAGAATTTATTCTTCTTATAACTGAAAGTTTGTACCCTTCGATCAATATCTCCCCAAAATACAATTGATTTTTTGTGTATTGATATTAAATCCTATAATTGTGCTGAACTCATTTATTAGTTCTAGTTTT